CCGTCTGTCCGTCCGTTGTTTTGTCCGGAGCATAACTTGAAAACCCTCGTAGATAATTTGTTAAAACTTCATACAGTGGTAGAGGGCATTAAGGGGGAGTGCAGTGTCAAAGAACCATAACTCTATTTTGCCTGATTTTTGTGTCGCCTCTACGGAGTAGTGGCGACATATAGGGATCACTTCTCCGTCGTCTGTCTGTCCGTCTGTCTGTCCGTCACAAAACTTGTCCGGACTACTCCTCATAAACTACTGGTGCAATTTCATCCAAACTTTACAGAAATGATCAGTACCAAGTCTAGTTGTGCATATTGTCAGCATTTTCCGGTTCAATGATTTTTGTCAGAGTTATGGCCCTTTAATAATTTTAATTTTAAAGTTTGTCCTGACTACTTCTCTTATACCACTAATGCAATTTCAATGAAACTTTACAGGATTGATCTGTAGCTCATGTCCTTTCGCATATTGCACGGGTTTTCCGGTTGATTGATTTTTGGCCGAGTTATGGCCCTTTGATAAAAAGGTGTGTTTTTCTGTGTGTTGCCAGATACACAAAAGCTTGTCCGGACTACTCCTCATAAACTACTGGTGCAATTTCATCCAAACTTTACAGGAATGATCAGTACCAAGTCTTGTTGTGCATATTGTCAGCATTTTCCGGTTCAATGATTTTTTGGCAGAGTTATGGCCCTTTAATAATTTTTATTTTTAAAGTTTGTCCGGACTACTTCTCTTATACAACTAATGCAATTTCAATGAAACTTTACAGGATTGATCTGTAGCTCAAGTCAAGAGATATCGACATGAAACTTTGCAGGTGAATAGATATCAATAGGTAGATGTGCAGTGCACAAAAACCATAACTCTATTTTGCCCGGTTTTTGAATTTTGTCCCCTTTTAGAAAAAATTTGTCCGGGACATAGCGCTAAAACTATAAGAGAGAGATATCAACATGAAATTTTGTAGGTAAATAGATCTCAATGAATAAATGTGCAGTGCACAAGAACCAAAACTCTTTTTTGCCTATTTCTGGAGTAATTGCCCTTTGTTAATTTTAACACTTTGAACTTTGTCCGGAACATAACTCTAAAACTATATAAGCGATATCAAGATGAAACATTGTAGGTAGATAGATCTCATTGAGTAGAAGTGCAGTGCAAAAGAACCATAACTTTGTTAAGCCTCATTTTTTAATTATCTACCCTTTTAGAGAAATCTTGTCCATGACATAGCTGTAAAACTATAAGAGATATCAACATGAAACTTTGTAGGTAGATATATCCCAATGAGTAAATGTGCAGTGCACAAGAATCATAACTCTGCCTTGCCTAATTTTGGAGTAATTGCCCTTTGTTTATTTTTACTTTATGAACTTTGTCTGGGATATTACTCTAAAATTATAAGAGATATCAACATGAAACTTTGTTGGTAGATAGATCTCATGGAGTTAAAGTGCAGTAAAAAAAACATAACTCTGTTTTGCCCATTTTTTTAATTATCGCCCCTTTCAAAAAAATCTTGTCCGTAAAATAACTCTAAAACTACAAGAGATATCTCTTGAGTGAAAAAAAAAACTAAGAAAATATGATGAATTTAATAAAAGAATATTTTTTCTGTTAGGTGAACAGATGTTCGTTTTCTTCTTTTTTAGATAAAAAAAAACATTTTTAGTCTACATTTTATTAAGAATTGTGTTCAAATTCTACTTTCAGTATTATTTTTCTTAATCTTTTTTTGTATTTTATTATATTTTTATCTGCATTTAGTAAACATAGTTATACATCATTTCACGTGTTTTCAGAAATCAAATATTTCCTTTCATTTTCATCACTTCTATTAGATGGTTCAGAAAAATCTCTAAATACTGCTTTAAAGTTATTAAGTAAGTTTACAGAAATTTCTGGATTAAAGATAAATTTTGACAAAACTAAGGTTATTTGGATAGGCTCTCTAAAATATAGTACTAGGTCAATTAAGACAAGATGGAAATTAACTTGGGGTGATACTCAGTTCAAATTGTTAGGTTTAATATTTGATGTTGATTTAGAAAAAATGATTGACTTAAATTTTAATGAAAAACTTCAAAAAGTAAAAAATAGTATCATTCACTGGAAAAAGAGAATATTAACTCCAATAGGAAAAATTGCTGTTATTAAGTCAATATTGCTTCCTTTATTTACTCATTGTTTCACAAGCCTACCAACACCAAATACTGTATTTTTGAAAACACTTAATGACTTATTTTATGATTTCATTTGGGAAGGCAAGGCAAAAATAAAACAATCAGTACTTATTAAAACATACATAGAAGGTGGTTTAAACATGGTTGATATTTATAGTTATATAAATAGTTTAAAGATAAAATGGTTTAAAAGATATGTTAGTAATAGCAAAAGTAAATGTTATAAGCTAGTAAACACATTGTTTAATATTGATAAAATGTTTAACACTGGAAAGATGTTTTGTAATTTGATTATTAGTAAAATAACAAATTCTTTCTGGATTGATGTTTTCAAAGCTTATATGGTGTTTGTAGATAAACTTTATATAGATAATATAGAGCAAGTATTACATAAGCCACTTTTTTTACAATCACAACTTTTTAGCAGGAAATAGATGTATTTACATTCAGACATTATATAATAAAATTTTAAGATTTGTAAAAGATATTATAAATGAACAGGGTAACTTTGTAGATTCGATATATTTAGAACAGGTCACAGGTAAACCTGTGAACTTTTTACAGTATCATAGTTCAAAACAGGCAATAAAAATGTACATGCAAAAGTTAAATATTTTTATAAGTAACAAGTTGCCTAATGTTCAATATCCTATAATAAATTGTTATGTTAAACCCATTTTAACTATGAATAACAATAAGAAATATGTTTATGAAATTATAGCTTAAAATTCAGACATACCTACAAGTCAAGAAAGGTGGAACACAAAGTCATGTTTTAAAGATAATAGCATTAATTGGCAGTTAATATATAGTTATGTTTTCAAATGTTCTAAAGATTCATATATTCAGTGGTTCCAAACAAGAATTATTCATAGAACTTTAGCTACAAACTCACTTTTGTTTAAAATGAAAATTGTTGATAATAAAATGTGTACTTTTTGTAAATGCTGTGAAGAAACACTTTTACATTTATTTTGGGAATGTCAGAAAATTCAAAGCCTATTTCAATACCTTAGAGAAAACTTACATAATTTTGACGATGTTCTTTGTTGTAAATCATTCATATTAGGTACAGAAAATAAAGATGATTTTAAATATGACATATTGTTTCTAGAATTGAAAAGATATATTTATTTGTCTAAGAGAAAAAACTTTTTACCTACATGTATTGGTTTTAAAAATAGTTTGAAATTAGCATGGAATATCTATAGAAATACACATTTGACAGATGATGAAAATAATAGATGGTCAATTATAAGATCCTTAATTGCTTAAACTACACTTAATATGTGAAACAAAACTTTACCTCGTAACAGATTGTTTAATTGTTTATTAATAAGTAGTAATTTTTATTGGTAAAATATTTTTGGAAAATAGATGGGTTTATTGTATGTATGTTGTTTATATTTATATGCAAAATATATACTGTAGATGTATTTGACAATATTTACATGAATATAATTATTTTGCAACATGTATATTGTATATTAACAATGTAAGGTATGATGGAGGATGACCCCGACCCCCTCATACCTATTACGGGGTAAATAAACGGGGTTACCCAGATGGGGCCTCAAAAAAAAAAAAAAAAAAAATATATTTCCTTTCAAAACATTTTTTCTATGGTTTACATTATTGACTAACCCACCTAACTAAAGTGTTATATGTTATTTCAAGTCAGATTTTAGGAATTTTCCTTTATAGTGTGATTTTTTTTAGCCATTGTTTTCAATGTCAACATTTTTTCTTTTTAGCTTTTAGCTTTAGTGTTAAATGTGTGATATGCAAGAATCTGTATGGTTGTAATGCCTATATCCAGAATGTTGATTTGTCTAGTTGAATAAATTACAATGTACTCAGCATTTTTGTTCACAAGGAAAAACGATCTTCAAAACTTACGACCATGTTTAATGTTTCTTTGTACAATGTTCAAATGCAAACTTCAGCATTTCATATTTGAAGTAATTGTAAGTTTTCAGGTTGGCTTAACATGGTTTTGCTGTAAAGTAACTCAATAGATATGTGAACTATTAAAGGAGCTTCACTGAGGTTAAAAAGCCTAAAATCATCAAATTTGAAAATCGGACATAGATCAACAGTCATACATCATTTCTCATTACATATTACATTTGTACATTAGATTTCATGTTGTTTTCATGAATGCCATCCCTCATTATCCAGTGTATCAACATTATTTTTATATACCTTACATACCATTTGTGTATATGTTTCAGTATAGTGGATGTGAAATAAAACATTATCAAAATATCTGCTGTGTTTACATGTTATTGTTTACCAATTTGTTTTAACACTTACCCTATTATAACCTATACGTATAATGATTTGGCTTTTACTGCCAGTATAGAGCCAAGCCAGGATGCACAATCCATATAGTCTGACCAGGCTCTTTTAACTCTTTTTATTCCCAAAATTGATACATGTGGACAGTTCCACCAGTGGAAGCTGGTCAAATCCAAGAATTCAGCAAGTTACGGATTGAACTTGATGTAAAGTTTGTGACTACTGAATGATACTTTAATGTAAAGTTTTTGGTTCTACTCTTGAATGATACTTCCAAAATGACACTTTAATGTAAAGTTGGTACTGGAATGATACTCAAAAAGTAAGTGATTCTATTCTGAATGATACTTGGTACTTTAAAGTACAAAATTGATGATTTAAAGTTCTGACCGGTCCAAGAACTACAGTACCCTACTGATAAAGGGAAGGAACCACGGACGGAAATTTGAGCAAACTCCTCACAGTTATTACCTCCCTTGGCAGAATCTACGCCGAAGAATTAAGGGGAGATCACTGTGTGGAGATTGGAATTTGAGATTACAGCAATAACCTCCCTTTGACATAAGCTCTTCAGATTAGAGGTGGGTTGAAAGAAGACAAATACGAAAGTGACATCCAAGATCAAAGTCGAGGTAAGTCTGTAGTTGTGGGTACAAATTTTCATATTGCATAAGTAAAATTATCTAAAAACAACATTATGTTAATAAGACTAATTTATGTCAAAAAAATACCATAGAAATATTAGACGTTTCAACTTCACTCAGCTTGTTAGACGTTTCAACCAGCACCTAGTGACCTTTCAGTTTCACACCAAAAGTAGACTCGACTTGAAACAAACTATTTATAATGTTCTACATGGGCTATATACTGTAATAAGACTTAAATAAAATAGTTTGTTTCAATTACCCGTGTTTCACTCCAAATTTGTGACTGGTAGTGGTATCTGGTTAGTCCTATAGGTTTACAGACCCTTCACCCCCAGACATATTTAACATATTTTATTATTATTTTATCATGTAATTGACCAAAGGCAATAGATATATCATAATATTGTTGTTTTGCTCTACAAAAAAGGCTGGTATCACAAAGTTATTGGGAAGTAAATTCTTTATTTTTTATTTCATTTTTTATATGTTTTATACTAATTTCGTTTAAAGTGCAAGTGATAACACTAATTGAATAATCTTTCTATTGAAGTGTGTGAACTCTACTACTCTTCATGATTGGAGGAAATAAAAGAATCTATCTATCTATCTACCTTTGATATATATACTAAGTATATAATCTGTTTCACACTTCCTTTGTGCCTTTAATTGACAGTATCTTGTTTAATGAATTGAAAGCAAAACTTGAATACAAATGGAACTGGCAACACATAGCATGTGACACCAGTAAGTTTACTTAATTTGTTAGCAACAAATGAGTTAAATAAATTATTAGATGTTTTATTTGTTTCTGAATTATTTTCTAAACAAATATTTACTCTTTGAAATGTTTGTAGATTATCCTTTAATTGAAAAATTCTAAATCAACAATACTTAAATAATTAAAATAAACATTTAATAGCATTATGTTGTCGCTTATTTACTTTCTAGAAAAAAATTGGATGAGGGGTGAAGTGTCTTACTGATTTTGAGGGGTGAAGTGTCTTGAGGGGTGAAGTGTCTTCAAAATTTGAGGGGTGAAGTGTCTGGGGGGTGAAGTGTCTTGCTACCGTCCTATAAATATGACGTTGCTTTGAGATATTTTTGCTTCTGGGCAAAGTCAGGCTTGACCGACATAAACTATAACAAGCCTGTACCGTCAAATATATTGGACTAGTATCTGGTATGATACACAGTCAGAGACAGACCTAGTTCTGGCTTCCATAACTTTATAATTATGTCACTTTTATTTTGACGTTGCAACTGTAGTACTATAAAACCTGTTCGCTGAAGTCTCTTTAGCTAAGACAGACCCTCTCCCTAGTCCAATATAACAGTTGCTTTGCCCAGAAGCAAAAATATCTCAAAGCGACATCTTGTTTATAAGACTAATCCCCTCCCCAACTAGCCTTATTAATTCGGCGTTAAATGTTTGACCCATTTTACAGGCTTCCAAAGTTTAGGGTTTTTGAAAAGAAATCTAAATTGTTATTTAACAGTTTTCATTTTATAACAGAAAAAATACATAAAACCATTGATAAACATACAAAAAAAGAAAATACAAATATAATTAGCTATATACATACAAGCTTATTTTAGTTTACAATAATATATTTTTAGTAATCTTAACTCTAAAGAATTTGATGTAAAATATGGGGCATAACAATATCTTCAGGTACTGTTATGTGTATTATTGTTTTATATGTATTTCAGTTGTGACATGTGACAAGGAGTGCTTGTATTGTATAAAGGCTGTCATAATCAGGAGTGGAACAATCATGTTTAAACTAGTAAGATCTCCATTAGTACGTAACTTTATTTTTTCTACCATTGAACTGGATTGTTTGTATTATTACATATTTCATCAATGTACACTCAGAGGTACTTATAACCGGACACTTTCATTTTTCGGTACAAATTGGTTATTTGTGGACGGATTTTGTTCAACTTTTGAACATACAAAATTAAACATATCATACTTCTTTCTTAAAATATTATTTACAATTAATTGACAAGAAATTAGACAAAACAAATATGCTACTGCAAAATGAAAGTCACAGAATGGCTGTAAATATCGTAACAAAATGAAAAGTCTCTGAATCCCATTAAATCTGTATGTTAACCAGTTCATGTGTAGGCTGCTAAAGGCTAATAGCTCTAATTCATACATATACAGTTGATGAGTTGGAGCGAAGGGAGGTACTAGAGCGTTCCGAGTTCAAACAAATAAAGTTTAACTGTACATGTACTTCAAGACAAACTAAAGTTTAAATCAATATGCTGGTTATTACATATTTTGAATATAATGTAATAAATAAATGCAACTCTCGTGTGCACAAATTATGACCAAATCAATGCAATTAATTCATTTCCCTGAGTGTATGAGGTGTTCCTGGATGTTTTATGCCTATATTGCCCTCTACCGTCACATAGCACTAGAATTAACCAGGATAAAAGAATTCAGAAGTAAAAATAAAAAAGGTATAGAAATGCTGAGTGTCCATTAAAAGCAACATTTTGATTCATTTCAACTGTTCTATGTATTTTTAGAGAGATTTTGGAACTATTATACAATGGTAGATTTTCTGTTATCTTTTTTAATTATGCTGATTTAAACTGATAGCATATTACATGTCGTTAAATTTTTAGCTCGACTTTTCTATGAAAAGGGGAGCTATCCTACTCGCCCCGGCGTCGGCGTTGGCGTCACACCTTGGTTAAGTTTTTCGTACCACCCCACTTTATTTCAGAAGTATTACAAGTATGGCTTTGAAACTTACCATACTTGTTCACCATCATAACCTCCATCTACAGACAAGAGTACATAACTCTGTCAAGGTTTTTGACAGAATTATGGCCCTTTTTTGACTTAGAAAGTGTATTGAGCTTGGTTAAGTTTTTTGTACCACCTCACTTTATTTCAAAACCATTGGAGGTATTGCTTTGAAACTGACCATACTTGTTTACCATCACGACCTTCATCAACAGACAAGAGGACATAACTCTGTCAAGGTTTTTGACAGAATTATGCCCCTTTTTGACTTAGAAAATACATTGAATATGGGTAAAATCCACTTATTGCCTTAACCCTTTGAGATATTGCTTTGAAACTTTTAATGCTATTTCACATCATTACCCCCATCTGTACGCAAGAGAAGGTAACTCTGTCAAGGATTTGTTTTAAAAATTAAGGCCTTTTATCGACTTAGAATCTTGGTTCTTGTATTGCCTTTTACTGCAAAAACTTTTTTTATTGGCAAGCAATAAAAAAGTCGAGCGCGCTGTCTTACGGACAGCTCTTGTTGGTCAGGTTGTTTTGGCACCTTCTAAAATGTCAAATAATGTTGAAAACTTTTTGTTCCAATTTTAGCGGGAATCTCATTATGTGATAAGATAAATAAATTTATAAGTGAATGTTTTTATATTACAGCTTATATTTGGAGTAGGAGTATATTTGGGAATGTATATTGATCAAAACTATCAGGTATGGTTCTTCTTTTAAACACTTTCCTTACAGTCTCAACCCATTTTTTTTCAATTTGAACATATTTGAGCCGCGTCACGACAAAACCAACATAGTGCGTTTGTGACCAGCATGGATCCAGACCAGCGTGCACATCCGGCAGTCTGATCAGGATCAATGCTGTTCACTATCAGTTTCTCTACTTGTAATAGGGTTGGTAAGCGAACAGCATGGATCCTGATCAGACTTGGCGGATGCGCAGGATGGTCTGGATCCATGCTGGTCACAAACCCATTATGTTGGTTTTGTCATGGCACGGCTCATTTGTCTTTCGCCACCGATTTAGAAATCATGTCTGAATAGTTGTTAGTCACTTGTGGAGAAATTAGTAATTACTGGTTAGTTCCTCCAGGAAATGCACTAAGGTGGATCCTCTATCTAGATATGATAAAAAAGGTGTTAAAATTGCTATTAAAAAAAAGATAATAAACAATTAGTTTGGACATCTTGCAGTGAACACGTGTTTCAGTTTGAGTAAACCTCATAGTAGTTAATAATGCATATATTTGGACAAATTTTTAACATTTTCTTCACTCATTTGTGACTTTTTCAATGCAATGTACCTACACACTTGTCTTGTGAGAAATTGTCCTCATATTAAATTCAGTGTCAGTGTGTTAATTTTTCCTTCTACTTTCAAGCACTCAAAATTCATCATTGTTTTTGGGAGTGGTTGCTAAAAAATTACATTGTTGTTACCAGAAAACAATTTGCAAATTAATAAAGCCAAATTTCTTTATTATATATTACCAGTTCATGGGTCAGGGATAAATGATATACATATAGTCATTTTAATTATGTGGTTTTCTGGAAATTATTCAAATCATATGTCTAACTGTATGGAAACTAAAAAATTATAAATAGATTTAATTTCCTCCATGTTAAAACTTGTAACATTAAATTTGTTTCAAATGAAAGCGTAGAGTTTTTTTTAAACAAAAAGATTGTCACTTTTCACGGTTGGATTTTTTACTAACATTGTGTCTGTGGCTGAGTGGCTTCAAACCATTTCATTGTACCAGGGACTTTGGAACAAGTAAGAAGCTATCAAGCTAGTTAGCTTACGGGACGTTGGTTGTTCTACATAGTTGTCTGTTTCTGCTTGAAATAATGTACAAAGGGGCTGTTGAGGTCTTACTCCACCATAAAAGATGAAAAATGTTTACACTGCTGGTGTGACATTTTATTTACAATAGGCACTACAAATTGTGATATAGTTCTAATATAAATTATGACTTGTATGCAATCAGGCTGATGATACCCCTATTGAATTTAATGTACATTTACTAAATTGTTGAAATTTGGAATTTGAGTTTTGACATTAAGGAAAAGTATCACCATGATCATTGTTAGTAACTGACTGCTGTACGGAAGTGACTTTGAGCTCAGGTTTGACAGTATTCTCCTGCATGACATTGTGCAGTCATTAGAATTATGTTTGCCTTACAAACGTTGACATACTTTGTTAGATTTTAGATCACTGTTGAATCTTCAAGCAAGCTGTCCGGATAGCTTTTGTTTGATCACTTCTGTTACTGAACTTTCTTTTCCTTATTTTATATTGTAAATTGTTGTTTTTTCTTTCAGATTCCCAGGGTTGATGACCCTCAAAGAGTTTGGGATAGAATCAAAGAATTTTCAGAAAATTACAAGAAAGATAAATAGGTGTCTTCAGAATGGAAAGATAAAAAGTTTTGACATCACCTTTAATTTGGTCAAGGAACCTATCAAAAAAAATATGTTGGTATAATAGATAAACATGTTGTGAATTCATTTTCCTCCATTTGAATCTCTGCATTTTGGACTGATGTTCAAGAATAATGACTTGAAGCCATCTTACATCTGCATGTGAATCATGGACACCTGGTTAGTGTCATACTTGATTAATTCTCAAGAATCATTTCTTAAATTGTTTTTATTTGTATGTTTATGTGTAATTTTCTATGGTGATTAATGAAACGCAGGCATGAATCTCGAGGTATGATTTTTATCCCCCTAAATATCTGAAATGGATTTGCCCTTCTTTCAATCTGGACAAAACCATTCATCTTTTCCAGAGAAAATTTCAAAATATAAACTTGCTGAATAGCAAACTGTGCAGACCATGCAACCAACTATTTGCAGTCTAATGATATGTAAAACTTATGTGCTAGATGGAACTATTTTTACCAGAAAAACAGTTCTTCATTACAAATCATAACTATTTTTGTTTAAAAAATTCTGATACAACACCTGTAGATTGCTCAATAATGCAGTGATTGTTTATGATATTTTTATCTTTTATTAATATTTTTAATCTTTTATTGTAATGAGTCCGTCGGCTTAGCACAATAGGGAGAGCATTGGTTCCATCCTCTGGCTAGGTGAAATTTGTCCTTAGCAATTGATCTCGGGACATTAAGTCTAATCATAATTCCTCTCTCATTGCTAAATAAGAAACCACATGGGATAAATTGTCACATGAGAAGAAATTTTAGCTATTCAGGAAAGCCAAATTGCATGACAAACTGCTGAGCTCATGACCAAAATAATTTTTCAAAATTAACCAAAAAAAACCCCAGCAAACAAACAAGCTAACACTATTGTAATCAAGGACCAATCAAAACCATTTTTCAGAAGTTATTGATTGATATAAAAGCCTGTGTATAAAATATACTATTTGGAATTTCTTAAAATGATGAAAAAGTTTACATAAGCCCTTAGTTGATTTCTTAAAAATTGTACCAAGTGTCTTCTTTTCCTCTGTTATTTACATTTTATGCCAGACTTGATTGATTATAATACTGAATGAGACAAAAGTGTTGATTCATTTGTATATAATGAAAAGTAGTACAAGATCTCTCTTTATTGTTGCTATTTGTAAGAAAATCAAAAGTGAAATGACATCTCTTTATATTTCATTTAAACATGATTTCTCTCCCTTGTTTTAATTGTCTCCCTTGATCATTTTGGGATCTGACTTACAAAAGCATAGACTTTTAGAGAAGGTTATTGTCACATTAATGTAAACATTAATAATTTTAAATTTATTTATTTTAATTAACTGAACTTTTAAAAGTGGAAAAGAAATTGTACTCAAGGAACGATCCAATTTAAGTATACATATGCCGTGATAAAATTAAATTTCTTCTTATTTCATTTTTTCATCCATCTTGAATAGACATTCCTTATTAATCATTTCTTAATGTTTCAAAAGTTGTATAAATTGCAATTTATTTTCTTCTCACAAATATGCAAGTAGTTAAATGCCAATTGGGTTTTACCAAATTAAACAACCTCTATTAATCTTGATAATATAAAATATTGTTAAATTGTTTTTTTCTATAGCTTTTTGCTTCCTGTTGAAGGCCGAAATGTTGATACTTTTATTTTAAATTTATTTTACTTTGGACCATAATTATGTAATTATGAAGTTGAATCTAATCTTATTAAACCTTTCCTAGCTGGAGCTGTAAGTGAATGGCCTTTGTCACCAGTATAGTCCGGCCAGCCTGCACATCAATGCAGTCTGTCCAGACGCAATACTGCTGTCTGACCAGCTTTATATCTTGATATACTTAAAAATTGATAATAGTCAATGCTGGTAATGTCCATCTAAGAAATTCAGCAGGATAAGGGCACAGTTTGAATGATGTCAAAAAATAAACCATATCACTTCATGATGTCTAAGATTATGAATAATAAATGAATTACATAATTTAGAAACTGTATGTATTAAGTGTGTACATTTGCATGATTCGTAAGTTATAAAGTTACATGTGCTGTGCTGAATGACCTTAAAGGTTCTAATTTTACTATGTATGTATGTATGTATGTACATGTATGTGCATGTATAAAGAAAAAAATTAACTGTAAATAATTTAAATTGTTGCAATTTGTGATTGTTTTATTGTTCACTTATTAACTTTATCATTTGTGTATTAAATAATAAAATTATGTTTGAAATAAATTTTGAAAATTTCTGAATATTTATTATTTTGGTTATAAATTATTCTTGCAAGTGTGCATGCAGGTATATATTTACTGAGAAATGAATAGATTCTTGTGACCAGGCTCTATTGGTTCACCTGAGCTGGGGATCATTGAATCTCCATAGTTCATACACATATAGTTCGTTTTCACTCAAGTGGTTACATTTTTGCCTCAATTATCACCAAACAGGAGTCTTCTGGGATGAAAAACTAGGTAACAGGAGCCAAAAATATAAAAATCTTTTTAATACTCGAGTGACTACTGTTTCAGTCCAAATACTGTTGTACACTGAAAATCGGTCAGAAAGGTTGTTTTGATGATTTCTAGCTCAAGGTGAAATTTGGGTCACCTGTAGTCAAAAACAAGGTCACACAGCCCAAGTATGGACACTCTAGAGACTACTGTTTTGGTCTTTATATCCTGGAAATTGGTCAGAAAAATTGTTAAAATGATTTCTAGCTCAAGTTGGAACATGGGTCATCTGGGGTCACACATCACAAATATGGAAAAATCATGTTGACAATAAAGGTTACTGTTTTGGCCCAAATATCCTGGAAATTGGTCAGATGATTTCTAGCTCAAGTTGGAATATTGGTTACCTCTGATCAAAAACTAGGCTACAGCGCCCAAATATGAAAAAAGCTTCTTGACACTTAATAATGTAATATTTTCAGACCAGATGCCCTGGAAAACTGTCGGCAAGGATTTTTTTAAATGATTGCTTTTTCAAGTTCAAATATGGGTCATCTGGGGTTAAAGACTATGTAAAACAGCCCATACATGGAAACACTTTATTTACATTTGCACAATTGCAGTTGCAAATACGAACATTATGGTTCCATTTTAAGAGTATGAAATTTTATCTGTTTTTCTTTCATATCTAACAATATCAATTAAGAGCCTTAATAACCAGGTGAGCGCTATAACGATCATCATGGCTCTCTTGTTTAAATTAGTTGCATCCCGAAGGTCACTTTATTTATATAGACTTTATAGTAAATACCCCGTAACTTAGTAAATACCCCGTAACTTAAAAAAGACCTCCTCAGGAACCGCAATGCCTAGAGCTTAGCTATTTGACATATAGCATTCACCTTGTGGTCTTCTGTAAAAGTTATATATAAATCATGCCAAAGGGGTCAAAATTTGCCCGATCTTGAGGTCGCATAGTTTATATAGACTTGTATAGGAAAATACATTTGTCTTCATTTGTGAAACTACAATGCTAAGAGCTTAGATATTGGCATGTATCATTGCCTAATAGACCACTTCAAAAGTTACATAAGTCATGCCCCTGGCGCCCTAGGGGTCACTTATTTTACAAGAAACGTTTCTCAAGAATCTCTCAAATTATAATTCCCAGAGCTTACTTATTTTGTACGTAACAATACCTAGTGAACATCTATAAAAAGTTATGCAAGTCCCGTCCCTTGGGTCAAAACGGCCCTGACCTTATTTGGGGTAACTTAGTTCATAGACTTGCTGTGACTTTAAAATCTTCTTTGAAAGTTCAATGCTCAAAAACTTATATATATCACATTCAGCATTCTACAAAATGTATATGAATCATTTGCTTCGGGTCAAAACTGACTCACTCTGGAGCAACTTAGCTTATATAGACTTGCACAGTAATACAAAGAAGCTTAATGCAATGTCTGTGCCGGTAGTTGCCGGAACTAACGCATGAAAAGCACGACTTTTACTATACATTTTACAGATACCGTTACAAAAGACGTATATACTTTTGTGCAATATTAACGGTAACACACTTTTTTGTGTGCATTAACATCTGCAGAAGCCCTCCCCCACAGGGCTAGGTCTTGAAATACATCACGGTGTTTCTGCATGTATCAGTGCATGAAAAAAATGCATTAGCCCTCTGTTGACGGGGAGTATGTGGCCATGTGGTTAAGGTCGTTGTCTTCAAACCTGACCCCTCACCGCTGTAGTTTCGAATCCCGCTAGAGACTGGATTCTTTCAGCTAGCTTACAGAACGTTAATGGTTCTACTCAGGTGCCTGTTTGTATCTGATATAATGCGACAGGGGGCACCGAAGCTCTTCCTGACATATGACCTCTAATGTGTTGGTGCGACGTAAAACAACAACAACAAACAAAACGTTTTTGACAGGTTACATAATATGTTTTATAGTATATACCCGTAAATGTTTTAATGCTAATTAATGCAAATGTATAATCAAATTCATTAGGCAAGTACTAGTATTGCAAAAAATGAAATCTTTATACATGGCCATATATATAAGAAGCAGAATGTAAGATACCTTAAATTTGCTTTCTTTTATTGAATATAGAACAGTCGTCATGTGTACCGTTTGGCGCTTTGTCGTGTTGTCGCTAGCGCCAACGTGACGCACAAAAGCGTACCAAATCAGCCACCATTTTTTTAGCTCGCCTGATTACGATAAACTTTTGTGGTCGCCCTCTGTCATTTAATTGTCATCGACAATTCCTTTAATTAAATAACGTCTCAAAACTCGATGATTGAATTTTACCAAACTTCTTAAGATGTTCTCCTACTGAAGTTTTTAAAGAAAAGAAACCTTCAAAAATATTCTATGATGCACTAACTCCTAAAGCATAGATTGCATGACAAGACCCCTACGAAGGCTGTTTCAATTATAGCTCTAACGTCAATATTACCCATGCCCGCGGTGATAGTGTGTTTTTCCTTAAGTTTCATGCAATAAAATCTTTTTAAGATTCTCTTGATCCCACAATGGCTACAGCTTAGATATTTATCATGAAACATCTGGTGGAAATTTATCACTTTTTTTCAAAATATGGATCAAATTGGTCCTGACTGATTTAGAAGTCAGTGGGTCATATACGTACGTTGCTCTCTGTTGTTCATTTACATGCTCGCGTATTTCAGATAATTTCTGTTTTTAGGAGATTGCAAAGCGGAGAGGACGGTCAATTTACTGATCAATACGACCCAGTTGAAAATATAATACTCTATAATACTTTGAAAAGAAACGGCTGTAAATATGTGCAGCATATTATATACAACATACAGTCCGATCTGTAATGATAAAAACGTAAATCCAAATACCATTAAGAAAAATGTTATATAATGCCATGGATCGAAATCACTATTTTAAAGCATTTCATGTTAAATATGTTCGGTATTTGGCTGTTCTCTATTGTTCTCGATGATTGTTAGGTCCTTTTTATCTCTACCAACATTAAGGGTATATATAACAATGGCTACCATTCGTCCAGCAACATTTTTTAAACTATCCTCAACATTCCAAGATAAAACGGCTGCCGACGCCTCATCATTTATACTCACCGGTATTGATGTGTGATCAAAACCTAATGTGTCATCTTTCCTGATATTTATATTCACATCCTCTTCATTGTAGGCTACAACGTGCACATTACTTTCACCTGATTGGTTATTGTTTGCGTCTGCTTTACCGGAAGTGGTCAGTTGTTTCGCATATTCTTCATGTTCATTGTTTTCCCCCTGGTAAACCAGTCCTGCAGAGACATTCTTGCCGTTCTTTGTGGCGCAATCAGTTTTGTGGTCTGCTGCAGATATCGCGCGTTCCATATCCACATGTAATTTGTAGGTAACCGCTAAGAGAAGTTTGATATCGCTTTCGTCACTTCCGTTGAATCCAAACGACTTTATAGCATCGTTGAACACTTCTTTGACGCCCTCTTTATCAATAAGATGCCACAACATTTTAATGTCGGTAATTTCGGCATGTTTTGACGCCATCTTTGCTAGAAGGAAGTTGAAGAATATCTTCACGTGATCTAAAACATCACGTGTCTTATTATCTCCTTCAAATATGCTCTCTACAATGTTCCAGCTCTGAAATACAAGACTGAATGCTTAATAAAAACTTACGTCTCATCATTCAGACAAAACGCCGAGTAATCAAATAAAGAATTTTGTAATTAATCATAGATTAAGAACTGCAGGGCCTTGAAGAAACTTTATTAAGTCATGTGTTGAAATTAATCAAACAAAGTCAAAATAGTCGAAATTAATGCCTGTTAAGTGAGGGTTAGCAATTTTCTTGCATTCTTAATATGTGTTAGCGATTAATCAACTATACATTCAAACATTAATGAGGCAAGACTAATTGGTTCTTCTGTCTTCAAAATTCTTCACCAAATATCTGCCAGTTATAGTAAATGTCAAGTAATAGGTAAGTTCCGTGGATAACAAATGACTAATACAAGGATAGGGTTTTTTTTATCACATGACAGTTTACAAGTTTTCATAATTTAACCATGTAATAAAATGCCTTTAATGAAATAATTTTAGTGCGATTTTTTCATACGTACATATTATTGTGGCTTGTCGGCAATATGGGGCATAGGCTAATGGTTTATATTATTATAACTGACAATGGATTATAAATAATGAGACAACGCTCTACGTGTTGCCTTGATTAGGTTTTCGCGTGCTAATTTTCATGTTTCTATTTTTGCCAGAAATAATGATTTAATCCGGTAAAATAGGAATGTCTGAATAACAATTTACGTAAGAGTTTTTTCTTACTACAGTAGTGCTCTACAGTAATCATAATATGACAACAAAAAGTTTCAAGACTTTTTTTTCTTTTCCAGTTTATACGTCAATAGATTCTGTAAAAAGTGTTGTAATAACTGCATGGAATAACGGACAAAGACATTTCCTGCACCAGACCTGCATATCCACCATCTTGTGCATTAATCAAATAATATGTACTTGCGGCTTTAAATGCATGAAATAGTGAAATTATCTTTCATAAATTCTGAAAAACAAATTGTAAGAACTACAATTGTCCGAGGCTAGCCCCCTTAAACACAGGATATCATTTCATTACATTCATGTTTTTTCGAATGGTGTAAAAGACTAGATCTATACCGGAAATATCTAAAATAAGTCCTAATGAAAGGTTTATTTCACAACTTTTAAAATACAATGTATAACCAATGCTCTTCCAGCATTTGCACCATGTGATGTTCTAATAGATATCATTATCGGATCCAATCTTATTATTTTATCCTAGAGTCCAAAAGTCCATATCACACCCCATATAGCCCCCCCCCCCCCCCAAAAAAAATCATATCACATACGTATCGCACCCTTTCTAGCATTGTTTTATTTTATTTTATTTTGAGAGACCAAAATCGATATCAAATCCTTATTGTAATTGAAAGTCAAATTGTCAAAAGTGGTGGCGTGAAATAAAACGGTAATTACACATGGTTTAGAACATCACTGATTCTATTGGACGCGTACACAGCTGCAAAACCTATACTGTATCAGCCTCGGCTCGACTCAGACATCAGTATTGTACTCATCAATTGATTATAACCTCATACCGTGTATTATTCCACCATATCACAAATATACATGATTTGGCGACGAAATCCAAAACAAAACCCTGGCTATTGTAGAAGATTATCTTACCCTCGTTTCTGTTTCCGTTTTATCAACGTAACGTTTCATGGCATTCGATAACTCTCTCGCAGACTGCATCATGTCACTAAACTCTGACTCCAGTTTTGCCGTCCTTTTCTCCAAATTAGATAGTTTTGTGCTGAGGTCAAGTTCAGCTTTTAATATATTGATTTGATGAACTGCTGACGCCATTTTTTCTGTTCAAACTTTCAGTGACGTCAGAAACGTCTACAACGCAATACGTGCTGACGGTCTTTGCAAATAACGAAATGCAGAAATAACGTGGGAAGTGGACATGTGATTTATTTATGTTAATAAAGAAACAAACAAAACAAGCATAATTTATTGAGGTCTATAATAAATATTATTGTTTGATTTTATTAACCCGTCAATTGAATACTAACTATGCGTCAATTGATGTAAACAATATACCCGGGTTCTTTGAACAGATGTATACCTAAGATTTGTTTAAATATCTGCAGTATGACTTTGGTATGATTCTTCTGTAATTCTAAATGGTAAATGATAGTGAACACATATTTATAACTGCAGTAATACAGAATGATCATATAATGCTCAAATGTTTGTACACACGTAACCATTTAAAATAAGTGCCCTACACAAATTCATTTTCTACTAGTGGATGAATATATGTGCAGATATCTAAATCACAAAAACTGAATATATACTTGAATAAAAAACATATCATTGAAATTTCTGTTCGTGAAAGAGGTTTCACTTTACGAAAAATTGCTTTTTTAACGTATTTTTTTTATTTTTAGAAATCTATTTTTTGTGTGTGTGTGTGTTTTTTTTAAGAAACATTACATGAATGAGTTACTTACTAAATGACCAGACTCTACATTTTATCAAATAGAAAGTAAAGAAATAAATTATATTAAAAACGTTATTCATGAACTGAACCGGTCTTTTGGTTCGTTTTTTACCGTAATATAAATCCGTGACGTAGATCACATAAACGTCACGTGCTTTTGACACCTTAAATTTGGCGCCAAAATAAAACGTTATTAGTCTTCGCTATCGATTATCACCGTCCTTCCCCAAGACAAGGGGCTGACAGCCTACGCTTAAATCCTAATGATATAAAAACGCAACATAGATTTACAACCATCAAATTTGACGGACAATTTGTTTAGGATTTTAACAATGTACACAATAAAATTAATACCGCTCTCCGCGCGAAAGACAGTCTGCACAAAATCATGTTCGATAGATACACGTTTGCACGTGATTGGTTTGCTTTTGTAATAAACTGGGGCAGAAAGATACAGTTACATTATCACTGATATATTATTTAGCTCCATGACATTATATGAGTGCCAGTAATAAACGAGTTGAACGATATCTTCGTAATATTTTTTTTTAAATCCTTAATTTTAAGCATTTAGCTATCACGAGATATAGATCTAATGTGTTTGAATTAAAAAAGATCAGAATTTCGTTTTTAAGTCTACTGTACCATCACACTGAAACGAGTGATCTTGAAAAAAATTTGGTCCGAAATGTTCGTGGTCCGAACAGACCATATCTAATGCGACGACGGTGATGCACCTAAATCCGCGGCATTTGTACGTTGATTCGCGAGATAAATTGTGAACATGCAATTTAAACAGGTATTATGCATTTCAATTCTTCACATTGTGAATACAATTTTCGCATTGAATAAGCACTAATAAACGCAGTAAACCGCTTTTGAAACAAATGTTTATTTTTTTCAGGTTCGCCCTCATGAAAATTCGCCCCATTCATGTCGGACTTCATTAATGTCATGTTTCACATCATGACGTAACAGTCGTTTCACTATACATTCATAACTTTAAACATGTTTTTGATTATGTACATGTTTTATATGTAGGCAATACAGCACTCTTTGACACAGATGAAATAAAAAAAATGATCAAGAAGAATTTTTTTACTATAGATTTACCATCGTATATTCTTCCTTAGTTCATTAGACACGAAGTTGTCTCTTTGACAAATCTAAGTAGTTGGACTAAGTCATCTTCATTTATCCAAAGTTTGTATCATAATATTAAATTACCATTGAATGACGAAAGACATATTTGTGTCGCCTCAACAGAGAATTAGGGATCACTTCTCTGTCATCTGTCTGTCTGTAACAAAACTTGTCCCGACTACTGCTCAAAAGCTATGAGTGCAATTTTATCCAAACTTAACAAGAATGATCAGTACCAAGTCAGGTTGGGCATATCAACTGTATTTTCCAGTTAAATTATTTTTGTCAGACTTATGACCCTTTAATGATTTTTATTATTAAAGTTTGTGTGGACTACTTCTCTTATACCACTATTATGCCATTTCAGTGAAATTTTACAGGAGTGATTAGGTAGCTCAAGTAGGCCTACTTGCTCATATTACACAGGTTTTCCACTTGAATGATTTTGGCGGAGTTATGGCCCTTGAATAAAAAGATGTTAATCAAACTCCAAAACCTCACAATAATGATCAATACCAAGTCTAGTTGTGAACGTCATCAGTAATTTTCAGTAACATGATTTTTGTCAGAGTTGTGGCCCTTTAATGACTTATTTTTAAAATTTGTTCAGACTACTTATCTTATATCACTTATATTAGGTGCACTTTCAATGAAATTCAACAAGATTTTTTAGTAGCTCAAGTACTTGAGCATATTAAAAGGGTTTTGCAGTGCAATTATTTTTGGCAGAGTTATGGCCCTTGAATAAAAAGTGTGTTTTGCTTAACTGGATATCATAAGGCGACACATGTGTTCACTGATCGCTCTTGTATACATGTATCTTTGCATAGATGTCTATCATGGATATATTACTATACCTGACTTTATAAAATAAATATTATTTGACTTGACTTGTCTGCCTGTAATTTCTATAATCACCACTGAATAAAGATATTTAATTATATAATTTATGCCAAAATGCACCTCTGACCAGCATCCTCAAAATTTTTAAGGGCATATGTTCCCAAGAACCCCATATAATTCAGCCTACATATAAATTTGAACCCCCATGCCATATTAATACAAGACCAGTCACCTTGATTGTTTTGAAACTCTCTTGTGAAAGACTGGCTGTAAACAATATAAATTCGAGTAGAGGGGATCAAACTTGCAGTTCTTGGATTTTCATAATTATTAAAGTCAGACATTATGTGTTTATAGACTGGGGTTCCCTGACTGCAAGTGTCTTTAAATAATATAATATTATTTTATACTAAAAACATCACAAAACTTGTCTTTTTAAAAACGTTTTGATTACGGAATTGTAAAAGTATAAATAAGCCGTTGGATTTAATTTGTTTACAGATTATATTTCAAGCGTTTCATAATTGATGTGTGATTTCCTTGTTAGTGATAGATAATTTCTGTTTTTAGGAGATTGCAAAGCGGAGAGGACGGTCAATTTACTGATCAATACGACCCAGTTGAAAATATCAACTCTATAATACTTTGAAAAGAAACGGCAGTAAATATGTGAAGCATAATAATTATATACAACATACAGTCAGATCTGTAATGATAAAAACGTAAATCCAAATACCATTTAGAAAAATGTAATATAATGCCATGGATCGAAATCACTATTTTAAAGCATTTCATGTTAAATATGTTCGGTATTTGGCTGTTCTCTATTGTTCTCGATGATTGTTAGGTCCTTTTTATCTCTACCAACATTAAGGGTATATATAACAATGGCTACCATTCGTCCAGCAACATTTTTTAAACTATCCTCAACATTCCAAGATAAAACGGCTGCCGACGCCTCATTATTTATACTCACCGGTATTGATGTGTGATCAAAACCTAATGTGTCATCTTTCTTCACATCCTCTTCATTGTAGGCTACAACGTGCAAATTAGTTTCACCTGATTGGTTAATGTTTGCGTCTGCTTTACCGGAAGTGGTCAGTTGTTTCGCGCATTTTTCATGTTCAATGTTTTTCCCCTGGTATACCAGTCCTGCAGAGACATTCTTGCCGTTCTCTGTGGCGCAATCAGTTTTGTCGTCTGCTGCAGATATCGCGCGTTCCATATCCACATGCAATTTGTAGGTAACCGCTAAGAGAAGTTTGATATCGCTTTCGTCACTTCCGTTGAATCCAAACGACTTTATAGCATCGTGGAACACTTCTTTGACGCCCTCTTTATCAATAAGATGCCACAACATTTTAATGTCGGTAATTTCGGCATGTTTTGACGCCATCTTTGCTAGAAGGAAGTTGAAGAATATCTTCACGTATCGCTGATCGCTCTTGTATACATGTATATTTGCATAGATGTCTATCCTGGATATATTACTATACTTGACTTTATAAAATAAATATTATTTGACTTGACTTGTCTGCCTGTAATTTCTATAATCACCACTGAATAAAGATATTTAATTATATAATTTATGCCAAAATGCACCTCTGACCAGCATCCTCAAAATTTTTAAGGGCATATGTCCCCAAGAACCCCATTGAATTCAGCCTTCATATAAATTTGAACCCCCATGCCATAATACAAGACCAGTCACCTTGATTGTTTTGAAACTCTCTTGTGAAAGACTGGCTTTAAACAATATAAGTTCGAGTAGAGGGAATCAAACTTGCAATTCTTGGATTTGCATAATTATTAAAGTCAGACATTATGTGTTGATAGACTGCAAGTGTCTTTAAATAATATAATATTATATTATACTAAAAACATCACAAAACTTGTCTTTTTAAAAACGTTTTGATTACGGAATTGTAAAAGTATAAATAAGCCGTTCAGGATTTAATTTGTTTACAGATTATATTTTAAGTGTTTCATAATTGATGTGTTATTTCCTTGTTAGTGTTTAGACAGAGTGCTGGGTGCAATAATGATGTTTTTAGCTTGACTATTCCAAGAACAGGGAGAGCTCTTGTTCTCACCCAGGCATCCCTGTGGTCGTCACACTAAGTCTTTGGTAAAGTTTTTGTGTGCAAGTTGGTATCTCCATAACTATTAAAAAGTCTGTATCTCCCACACTTGGGTTCACACACTTATTCTCTGTATTTACCTAACATGATTGGCATAGGTCCCATAACTCTGAGTTATTTTTTAACAGAGTAATCCCCATTTTCTTACTGCCAAGTACTGAGAATAGTCAAGTACACTGCCCTACGAATGTTAAAATATCTAATTTCCGATATCTAGATCATTACAGCTACTGTAAACAGAAATTAGGAAATAATTAATTGTCAAAGTCTTTCTCTGTTATAATATTGCAATGGTTTTAAATTAATAACAAATCTTTCTCCATTGACATTATTATACACTGTAGCTGAACATCATAATTATGTGCATTGAATAATAAAAGGTTTGTGTACACAGGTATTAGATAGAAAATAAATATATGAATACTTAATTCTATATCAATTGTTGTATTTAAAAGACAGTACTGAGAATAGTCAAGTACACTGCCCTACGAATGTTAGAATGTCTAATTTCCGATATCTAGATCAATACAGCTGCTGTAAACAGAAATTAGGAAATAATTAATTGTCAAAGTCTTTCTCTGTTATAATATTGCAATGGTTTTAAATTAATAACAAATCTTTCTTCATTGACATTACTATACACTGTAGCTATTAATACTTAATTCTATATCAATTGTTGTATTTAACAGACAGTTGAAGAGGCAACTGAGAAAGCTGTGGAAGTATCAGAAGATGAAGTTGAGGCAACTGTAGAAATCAAACAGGTAAGAATGGTTATACACTGGTTCTTTCCCCTACGGCATCCCTACCCCTGGGAATTATAAGTGGTGACACTTACTGTTGGATTTTCAAACTATTAGTGAAGTATCTATCCAGAATGGACAGTAAAAAAGAAATCCAGGCTGTACGATCAAGCTCTGCAAGTTGCATGGACTTAGTTATAATTATATGGCTATTTGGTGTTGATTCAAATCCATTTTGTTGATCCGGAGGGTAAATTTCTACACATTTTCCCCTCTCTCAGTAGCATTGTCCAGGTGGGGTAAAGATGCTGGCAATACAATTGACTGGTGTGTTACTGGTCATGGCTATGCCTGTGTTATGTTAGTGTTTTATGTGCCCTGGTGAATATTTTTGGGATCTGTGATTGCATCATGTATGGCCTTACTTATTATGGCCTTGTTTTATTCACATACATGTGTAATACCATGTTTGTTGAGGAATTCTCTCCTTTCTTCTTTGGCCAGCTCCTACATTTCTCCAGGGATTTCAGTCAATTTGTTTTCGGTTCTACTATCATCAAATAGTTTTGTGAATCATACATCTTTAGCAGAGGTATGGCCCTCAGTTTTGTTTTTAATTTTTTTTTTAATTGTTCCTTTTATTTTTTTAAATTCATATGCAGTTAAGCTGTTTAAGAAGTTATTATATCACATACCTGTGTAACATTTTAAGTCACACAAACCCTGTCATTTGAAAGCTAGCTCACCACCAATAGTAGGTTTGTGTCCTTGTATATGGGAAACATTCCCTTACGTTAATGTACCAACTTAAGTTTTTGCTTATTATATGGTCATGATCAGTATAATATGGCCTTCTACCAAGTGGTTACACCTTTGTGACTTTGCAACACTAAAAACGTTATTGCCTGGCTGTGCAAATATTTTGATGTGATGTCATTTGCCTTATATAAACAAAGCTTAAAGATGCGCCAAATGCAACTGTTACAGTATAAGCCTATTGATGAAAAAATGAATACATGTAATTTTTTTATTGAAAAATATGTGATAAATATATATTTTATTATTGTAGCTTCATTACTAAATTTATTGAACTTGTTGAATAAAATTATATTCTGTGAGTCTCTGATAATATAATGCTGGCTCAGAGACTTGATGATATAATTTTATTCAACTTGTTCAATAAATTTAGTATTGTACCTACTCTCTTTCAATTTCCTCTATACGACTATTTATTTCTACTTTTTCAGAAGATGAATTCAGCTGTTAAGAGGAAGAGGTCTAGTCCAAAAGTCAAGTCTGCAGAAAACCAGACAACGGTTGCTATGGAAACTAAAGTACATGAAGGGGAGGAGATTGAGGGTATAGGTGATGATGATGTTATAGCCCCATTGGTTAAAGTGAGTTGATTTATAAGTTAAATATAGAAATATTTGATGGGTTATATAATGATATGATCTATCATAATTCTGGCTTTATAACATCACTTTTCATTTGATAATCATGATATTCTTATAATTATAACAAAACTACACATTATATATTTATGACTGCTGTAAAATGGTGAAGTGATTAGCAATTTTTTTCAAATAACAGAATTTTTCATTTCACTTTGGAACTGGTTTCTAATGGGTAGTTGATAGCTTGCATTTACCACAACTGTCCCTGAACAGGCTATATGACAAAACTGCTATGAGCCTGCAACATTTTCAGTTTTGAAGTGATGGTCGACCCTCGAGGGAATTCCACTGAGGTTCAGAAGCCAAAACTCATTAAATTTGAAATTCTTTTATAGATCAACTGGAGAACTTGAAAAAAGTATGCAAAAGATTATAAAGAAATATATACTCAGAATTAAATTGAATGTGATTCTTTTTCTGATTTGAGTTAAAAGCCTTTGTATGCTTTTCAAGTTTGGTCTTTTAGCACGTTTAACTCATTACTTTATGAGCATTTTGTGAAAAATGGCTGTTTTCATTGAAAAGCCTCCTGTTACAAGTTCAATTTGCTATGAAATTAGGAAAAAGGCTTCAATACTGTTCAAACTTGGCACAAATGTTGACTGGTAACAGCATACTCAATTGTAAATTTCTTGTTACCATGGAAATGAGGGGACATCTCAAAATTGCCAAAAATCACTATTTTTGTATTGAGTTTTCCATAAAAAAAAACTTATTTCAAAGTCATGCAACTTCTCATTGGATTGAGATAGAGTCAAAGGCTTTTCAGTGTTGGTTACATGTTACCTTAAGGTTGACCTGAGGCCATTCTTGGAGATGAAACCTTTTTAGCACAATTTCTAAAATGAAAACAAGCATTTTTATACTATTTGAGGCCTCAAAAAGAGGATGGGGAGTGGGGTTGTGAAAAGGCGTGAAAAGACGTCTATAGGAAGTCATGGGTTGAAAGAAGTTTTATGGATAAACAGAGTCAGAAAATTCTCTTAAATTTCGTAAATAAGGTATTGTTACATAGTTTAATCAAATGATACACAAATCTCTTAAAAAAATAATTTCCAGGCCAGTCATGTCCAAAAATCTTAGTTGAGTGCCCTAATGCTTCCATTTTTGACTTGTAGATAATTTTTACAGGAACAAGACTAGTTCACTAATTAAATTATTAGTCAAGCTTGCTGTTAGTCTAGCAGATATCGTTAATAATTAGTCTTTCCTACATAAATACGATTTAAAGCAAAACCTGATTATTTGTATTTTGTTATTTTTCAGAGAAAACCCAGACAAAAATACAGGACATATCCACAGTCTGCTCTCAAAGATGCCTTAAGAAGTGTAAGAGAGGATAAAATTTCAGTTCTTAAAGCTTCCAAAATGTTTGGCGTACCTGAAAATACTTTAAGAGACAGGGTTTTGGGAAAAGTTGATCCAGAGAATGTAACAATTGGGAGTAGTCCCTTATTTGACCAGCCAGAGGAAGCTGAAATTGTAAAGCATTTTAAAACAATGGCTGATATAGGTTATTGTTTTACTCAGAAAGAAATTGTTGATGTTGTAAGTCAGTATGCCATTCAGCTAGGAAAAAGAACCAAAGACCAAAATCTGTCAGCAAAATGGATGTTTGGTTTCATTTCAAGATGGCCAGAAATGCGTGAGATTAAAGCTAGGACTTTTAACTTTGTAAGTGTTGATATGCCCAATAAAAGCGTGGTTATGTCATTCTTTGATAATCTAGACAAGTGCCTAAGAAAACATGACCTCTTAGATGAACCCCATTTGATTTATAATGTGGATGAGAAATGCATGTCAATAGGCCATAAACCACCCTACACATTAACTCGTGTTGAGGACCCAGCACAAATTGATGGGCCTGGAAAAGGTAATTTTGTGACAATCATTGGGGCTGGTAGTGCAGTTGGAGCATTCGTTCCACCATACTTAGTATTCCCTGGTAAAAGATTTGTGGCAGACAACTATCTAAATGGAGCATATCCTAGCACCAGCGGGACTGTATCAGATAATGGACTGGCAGATAATGAAGCTTTTCATAAATACCTTACAGAGCATTTTATACGGTTTGTACCTGGCCGAGGTAAATTGGTATTCTTATTGCTGGATTGTCACAGATGCCATACTGCACTCATTCTTCATGACTGGGCTGTGGAGAACAATATTGTAATGTTTGTTCTTCCAGCTGGCACAAGTCGACTTTTACATCCTATAGACGTTGCTTGTTATGGCCCTTTTCAACAGAATTTTTATGCCCAGTGCTGTAAGAATATTCCTCAGAAATACTCTACTTTCACAAAACATAATATTTGTAGCATGGCCTGTACAGTTTATTCAAAAACTTTTAGTTCAAAAAACCTGCTGTCTGGGTTTTCAAAGACTGGTGTATACCCTCTTGATAGAAATGCAATACCAAAACATTGCATGTTAATACCACCCAATGTAAATGAGCCTGAAAACATATCCTGTAAACAACACAATGAATCGCCAGTGGAAAATAATAATGCTTTTGATGATGAGCTAGAGACATGTTCTCATACAAGGAAAGGACTTGATTCAAGTGAAATAGGAAAAACATGCAAAAAATTAAAGCAAACACTCGGTATAGGTAATATAAATGCTGCTGCAACTCGGGGAAATGTCATAAATACTGAAGCACAATGGAAAAATATTATGAAAGAGGTTGGATGGAAGGATAATTTCATGAATAATAACATAATGAATCTTCATGAGACGTGTCCTGGAGCAAGAGAGGAAATTATCATGCAAGTAGAAGCAGTGACTGGTATGTATGATGAAGCAGCAAATGGTGTCATGAATGATGTAGCAAAAAGTGATGTCATGAATAATGAAGCAGAAAGTGATAATGTTATGAATGATGTAGCAGAAAGAGATAATTTCATGAATAATGTACCAGAAAGAGATAATGTCATGAATAATGTACCTGAAAGTGATAATGTCATGAATAATGTAGCAGTGAGTGATAATGTCATGAATAATGAAGCAGTAAGTGATAACATCATGAATAATGTACCAGAAAGAGATAATGTCATGAATACATGGAATAATGCAGCATTAAGTGATAATGTCATAATTGCTGCAAAACAACATACAAACAGTCTGAATAAAGCTCTTAAGTTATTGAGAAAAAAGACAGCCAGTGAGTCAGAGGTGATAGATAAATCTCAGAAGCCAACAAATTCTGGTTCTTTTCTAAGTACATCACCCATGAATACTGTTGTAATTTCAACTGATACAGGTGAATCTGAAGACGATTCTGAAACATGCTGTGTTTGTGGTCTCTTCCAGCCAAAAGAGGTAGCAAATTGTACCTCTCTTATATTTGTAAAGTGGGCGAAATGTGACGGAATAAAAAATGGACAACCGTGTAATCACTGGACTCATTTAAAGTACTGTTCACCTGTGAAGGTTTTAAGGAGAAATGATAAATTTTTCTGCTGTCATTGTTAAAGAATAAATTGTTGATAGATTTTTGTTGTTTCAACTTTTTACAGCATTGTTTCGCGTGAATAAATATTAATTACATCTAATTTGGCTTAATTACATGTAACACACTAGTCTTGTAACCTTCCACAGAATGACTTGTATAATATTTTAATATATTGTTTAAAGTGTTTTGCTTTTGTTTTTTTAATAATATGTTTTAACACAATTTGAAATATTTCTGTCATGACATAACCTGCCCTATGATAAAACAAAGTTGCTTTAATTAACACCTCTGTATTCTACTACTAATTATCTTCCCTACTACACTCTGCAGAAGAAATTTCTTACAATATTACAAATATAGCAAACATGGGCTGGCTGATCTCCGGCCCATGAGTACATTCTGATGCTGACAGCAGCCTATATTAGGGTTTAACAAATGAAAATTACACTGTTAGATTGCAATAATTTTTATTCAATTTTTGATCAGTTAATACATAAACAAAGAAGAGAATTTAATATAATCATATAAAATATATATGAGCCGTGTCATGACAAAACCAACATAGAGTGTTTGCGACCAGCATGGATCCAGACCAGCCTGCGCGGATGCACAGTCTGATCAGGATCCATGCTGTTCGCTTACCAACTCTATTACAAGAAGAGAAACTGATAGCGAACAGCATGGATCCTGATCAGACTGCGCGGATGCGCAGGCTGGTCTGGATCCATGCTGGTTGCAATGCACTATGTTGGTTTTGTCGTGACGCGGCTCAATTATAATAATGTTGTGTTATAGTGATCTGCTATCTCCTCTAACAAATGCTTTAGTTATTATTCTTAAGTAAATTTTCATAACGCATCTTTCTATAAAATCACAAATTTAAGCAACACATTTTTCTGAAGAGACTATTGTCACCAAATCACTTATTTGAGTGGGGCCAACAGTCTCATCAAGTTAAACTGTTTTGATATACAAATATATAAAGGTAAAGGGTTAAAAATCAAAAAAATAAAATTCTGAATTACCATTATTGTCATCAGTTTTATGTAGAAAAAGTGTGGTTTTAGAGTTGAAAAAACTGAAATTCAGGAAAATAACTGAAAACGTTTACTTGTGTTGATAAATTCAAAAAAAAAAGGAAATTTCATATAAGAAACACTTGGCAAAAAAAATTATATAATACATGTCTTTGAAAAAATCAACAAATTTTTAATTGTTTTGTTATGTATTATAACTTGATTGTTCAGTAAAAGGGCATAATAATGATGATATATACATGTACGTATGTATATACATGTACTGAATGGGTAGAGTGTTATGCTTTCATGTGTACTTAATATATGGGCAGGCACTGAGGCATTGATCCACTTTTATTCTCTAACAGTCATCTGAATGGCATGAAAGAAAACTAAAACAATATCATGCTTAACATATTCTTTTCACTGGCTTGTCCTGTCCTACTTTAAAGCAGCATGCCTCCAGATTCATGCTTATTTTCATAAACATTTTGAAACTGTATTTAAAAGTTAAATGCTGTGCAGTGAACAAAGAAAGTAATATACACATTGCAAACAGCACTTAAAATACATGTAAGTTACCAAAAAGAGGTAAAAACATGCAAAAATAGCTTTTACTGCATTAGTCATGCAGTAGAAATATGGTAATTAATACTGCAAAATCAGTCATTAATGGCTGACATGTAAATTAATACTTGAATCTTGTATCTTTTTAACCTGTCTTAGAATTTTAGGACATTATATTTTGGCTCATCTGGAGGTATGCAGCTTTAACACTGCAAATATCCATTGCTTGTTTGCGAAATTTTAAAACTGAAATGTTTAAATAACAGGGATTCAAAAAAAAAGAATCAATAGAAAAACTAATTGTCATTTAAAAGAAAACAAAACCTCAATTCAGACAAATTGCTTGTAATGAAAATAACAGAGCATAAAATTGATGTACAAATATTACCAAAACAACAGAACTCAAAAATGAAAAAAATACAAAACATAAATGGCATATACAAAAATACAAATTTTAAACAATTGAAAATTACAAAACGCTTGAGGACCTAAATAAACTGTGTACAATGCAGGTAAAAATGGACTCTATTATATAAGCAAAGAATATATGAGCCGCGTCACGACAAAACCAACATTATGCGTTTGCGACCAGCATGGATCCAGACCAGCCTGCACAACCACGCAGTCTGATCAGGATCCATGCTGTTCGCTTACAAACCCTATAACAAGTAGAGAAACTGATAGCGAACAGCATGGATCTTGATCAGACTGCGCGGATGGGCAGGCTGGTCTGGATCCATGCTGGTCACAAAAGCATAATGTTGGTTTTGTCGTGACGCGGCTCATAATATAATGATATTAACGATTTTCAAAACAAAAATCAATTTCAATGTATAATTAGAATTGTTTTTTTGCACAAAATTTATCTATTGAAAGCTATTTTATTAATTTTATGTCATAACCTTATCATCAAATTTTAAAGCACTGAATTATTCAAAGAAACGTGGTCTGTATTTATTAAAGCACCAACACAATACTGACAGTCAGCAGCCATCAGTATAGGCAGGCCAGACAGCAGGGACGTGAAACCTTGCCTATCTCTTTAACTGAGGTTGGTTATTTTCACAAAGAGCACAAACACATGGTTTTCAACTTACATAAAACCCATCTTTTTTATGAGATCAAATAGAAAATATGGCGTGAGTTTATTTCTGCACCAGAATTCAAATATACCAAATTATTCAATATCAAACAAAAACTAAATATTGTAGTTTACAATTTGAATAAATTGTCTAGATATTATTACAGGTAGGTAACATTTTTTTTCCTTTAGACTACAGTTTCACATAGATCTTAAAATATATCTACAAAATATAGAATATCTATAAAATGGAGTAATAAATATTTTAAAACTTCACACATCCATACCTTTCGTTAACATACCAAACTATGATAACATACATGTATATTTGGTTTATTACTTTGACAAGAGAATTATAGAGACTTTAAAGAGTAGGATCATTTAACGAGGTCTTTAAACAGAGGTGGCCTTTCACTACAGATGTAGTATAATACCACCAAAAGCTGATCCTTTATATATAGCAAGCTGTTTTTAACAAAACAGAGTACATGTATATTATGAGGTTATTATACATTGTTGAGAAACAAAAATAAACTGAACTATATTAGATTACTACAAAGTTGTCAAACCTATATTGGACAAGGCATTAGGCGAGTCCAATATGGGTTTTGCAGCAGTGTACTCATCATCCAATAGAATCAAGTTTTTACAATGACTTCTTTATTTCACACCTCCAATTTCTAACATTATGAAAGAACTTATTACTTCCATGACAGTCTTTATATGATACGGATTTTTGGACTCTGAAAATGAAAATGAGACATAATAGATACATTAGATAGAGTACAATATGGATTTGATATGGACTTTTTGGGCTGAGGAAAATAGAAATGAGGCTAAATTAAATTAATTGGATCCAAATATGATTTATATCAGAACATCATGTGGTTTAAATGCTGGAAGTTTATAGGTTATATTTTATAAGGTGTGAAATAAATATTTAATATACAATATATCTTCATAATTTTATATTCATACACACTCAAAAAAGCACCAGAAACATGTGCAACACATAAAATTGCAATAACAATTTTTATTATACAATAATTGTGCACATGATTTACCAATAACAGCTGCTGTACAATATCAAAATGCAAAAGAAAAATTGGCGGCAAAACAGTGATAACAAAAAACTACCTAAAGATTGCTTACAGTTCTTCATATATTATTAATTTATCTTTTATGCTGACAAGTCCAGTACCGGTATTTAATAAATTTACATTGTTCTTCTACAAAAATTATAAAAGTGTCACCATTTTTTTGTATTCGGACAAATAGCATATTGCAAAATAAATTCAGTAAAAAAAAACAGCATCTATGATAATAGCAGGAATTGTCTATTAATTAATTTAAAAGTCTAATAAATGCAGTTGATGATTTTTTCAATAAAAGAATTACTAATTTCATCTCATAACATTGTCTCATTGATTGCTATGTAGAAATTATATGCAAATTAGCCGACATGTACACACACATCTCCATAAAGATATTAATTGTACTTCTCTAGGATGATATTTTGTTTACATAACAAAGATCAATAATAATATGGGGAAATTGGTAAGATGCTATTGGAATTGTATGGAAATCTGTCTTAAGTTTTAACCTTATAACTGCAAGAGTCACAATATAGAGCTTGGCTGTTTACATCTTAAAACCCCTTAATAATCATGGGTGCAAGTTGAAAATTTGGAAAAACCTAATAGTAAATTATGATGAAATTTGTCACAAAAACCTGAGCTTCAGGCACTTGCACCCATTTTAATTTAACAATGAAATGTTCCGAACTTAAAAGGAGGACAAGTCAATCACACAAATTAGGGAGTGTTCAGGTTGAACTGCTTGATTATATCGGGTATTATATATATTTATCCGAGCTATCCTTATCCAAAAGCCAAACAGTAACAGTTTGTTAGTACCGGGAGGGAGGAAGGAGGGTGGGTGGGGGACATACTATTCATTTGCCAAGTTCCTGATGAAATCAATTATCATCCTAGACTAGTACAATAAGTTTACAAAACAAAGATAAAACTTGGTTAACAGCCATTATTAATATCACATACAGAAGAGGTATTTCAAGTTTCAATAGCAAGAAGAATAGAACTATGAAATAAACTTTAACAAACTTAAACAAATGTTTAAATGGATAAGGCATATCCATGGTAAAAATGTATAATTGTAAGGATAATTTTGTTAATATAAATATATATGAGCCGCGTCATGACAAAACATAATTCGTTTGCGACCAGCATGGATCCAGACCAGCCTGCGCATCCGACCCTATTACAAGTAGAGAAACTGATAGCGAACAGCATGGATCCATGCTTGTCACAAACCCATTATGTTGGTATTGTCATGACGCTGCTCATATATTAAGATAGTCTCTTGAACTAGGCAATTATGGGTTTTCCCCATCTTATCCCAGGTATAAACAAAATCTTCATAGTTACAACTAGGTAAATATATCAATGATAAGGCCAACACATTGCTCAATCTAAAGTGAATGAAAGTGCACCGTGAAGCTTTAATGTTTAAAGTTTGTTTATATCCCTGGATTTGATGGGAAAACTAATAACATTAACCGAGTTCTTGCTAACAGGAGTACATCTTACAAAAAG